TATATATATATATATGTGTATATATATATATATATATATATATATATATATATTTATATATATATAAAAAAAAAAAAAAATTTATATTTTTATTTTTTTTAATTAAATAAAAATTTATTTATATATATAAATAAAAAAAAAAATTATATATATATATATATATATATATATATATATATATATATATATATATATATATATATATATATATATATATATATATAGCCCCCCCCCCCCCCATTTCAGTTTAATGGAGAGATGATTTTTTTCACATTTCTAAACATAATATTTTTAATAACTCATATCTAATAACTGATTTATTTTATCTTCGCCATGACGAGAGTAAATAATATTTGACTAGATATTCTTCAAGACACTTCTATACAGCTTAAAGTGACATTTGAAGCTTAACTAGGTTATTTAGGGTAACTAGGCAGGTTAGGGTAATTAGGTAATAATTTTAAACCTTAAAATAGTGTTTAAAAAAATAAAAACTGCTTTTATTCTAGCCTAAATAAAACAAACAAGACTTTCTTTAGAAGAAAAAATAAATAAACAAGTGTGTCTCTGTAGAGTATGCAAGCTACGGGACATACTGTACTATTTACTCAATTCACACCCTTTACTTACTTATTAAAACCCTTTTACTGAATCTTCTCTACATGAGGGTTGGTCTTGTGCATCCCCCATGTTTATAGCTTGTTTACACTTTTTACATGGATTTGCTATTCTAATCAAGTTCACGTTTAATGTGCAAGGTATTGTGGGCAATAGTAGCAATTAGAATACGGACAGTTCAACACGTCAGTGGAAGAAAGTCGTTTATAAAGCTTTAAAACAACATCAGGGAGAGTAAATGATGAGTTTTTGGGGTGAACTATCAATTTAAAACCATTCCTGGTGGTTTAAAAAATTTATTAAACTCACAGCTGAAGTCAGAATTATTCGCCCCCCTGTTTATTTTTTTCCCCAATTTCTGTTTAACGGAGAGAAGATTTTTTCAACACATTTCTAATCATAATAGTTTTAATAACTCATCTCTAATAACTGATTTATTTTATTTTTGTATGATGACAGTAAATAATATTTGACTAGATATTTTTCAAGACACTTCTATACAGCTTAAAGTGACATTTAAAGGCTTAACTAGGTTAATTAGGTTAACCTAGGCAGGTTAGGGTAATTAGGCAAGTTATTGTATATCGATTTGTTCTGTAGACTATTGAAAACACACATAGCTTAAAGGGGCTAATAATTTTGAGCTTAAATGGTGTTTAATAAATTAAAACTGCTTTAATTCTAGCCAAAATAAAACTAATAAGACATTCTCCAAAAGAAAAAAATATTATCAGAAATACTGTGAAAATGTCCTTGCTCTGTTAAACATCATTTGGAAAAAAGAAAAAAATAAAATTCAAAGGGGGGCTAATAATTCTAACGTCAGCTGTATACATTCATTATATAAACTTATAAAACTATTAAAGTAGATTAAACTTTTAACACTGCCTCTACATATATACCGATCAAGTCAATCTCACAAAAAACGTTGATTGTTGAAACAAATTGAATATCTGATTTGTAAAAAAAAAAAAAAAAAAAAAAAAAAATAGGTAACACTTTACAATAAGGTTCATTAGTTAATGCATTTACTAACATGAACTAATCCTGAACAACACATGTACAGCATTTATTAATCATAATTGAACATTTACTAATGCATTATTAACATCCACGTTCATGCTTGTTAACATTAGTTAATGCACCATGAGTTAACATGAACTAACAATGAACAACTGTATTTTCATTAACTGACGCCTGTTTCACATCGCAAGCGTCAGCAGCGCGTGAGCAGAGCGTGAGCAGCGCGTATGTTGAGCAGAAGCAGCACGCAGGCGTTTGCCTTTCACACAAGCTGCGTCTGCAGCGTGCAGCTCTTCGGCAGCTGCTGCAGAGATCAACCTATCTCTGTCTATTCTATCTAGTTACCCATGTCTCTCTATATACAAATACACTTTTTAAACTTTTCATCTGCAGCAAGGCAAATTTTATAGATCAAATAGTACTGTATGCTTCTCAAGCTCTATAGTAGTGTCTACAGTCAGAAGACTGTGATATATTGTCATTTGTTTTTTGATTGTCAGGTTGCTGTAGGCCTAGTTATAATAATATTTATACAATATAGTTATAATGATATTTATACATGATCAAACTAGTGTTGCTTTCTCCGCTTCAATGATGTCCAGCGGCAGAATAACAGCTCGTTAATTCCTGCTCGTGCAGAGGATGAGACGGACAAAATTTATTAATGCATGCCATTCTTTTACTTATTTTCGTGTTGTCAGATNCAGAGTGCAATTTGTGCAAACAGCTCCCGGAAGGAATAACTCAAGTGAACATAAAACAAAGCCGATTAAAACTTTCTTGCTATGCTTGAGCTGCAAACAGGCCCGTGCAGAGACCGTCAAAAGGGCATGTGCAGGATCATTTTTTTGAAGAGCGGGGGGGTGGGGGGTGATGGGGGTTGTTGTTGTCGCGCGCGTACTGAAGAGCAGTGTTGTCGCGCGCGTTCTGATGAGCTGTGTTGTCGCGCGCGTACTGTAAAGTGGGGGAGGGGGGGTTGAACACGCGTACTCAAGAGCAGTGTTGTCCTGCGCCTACTGAAGGGCGGGACGGAGGGTGTGTCGCGTCGCGGGGGCACTTTTGATCATTTTGGAAGGGCACTTTGTATCCAAGACTAAAAAGGGCATGTGCACTGCACAGGTTGAGCCCTATGTGTGCACGTGTCTGTCGCACTACACTACCCACAATACACTTCGCTATGGACTACAACTCCCGTAAATATTCTATTTCCCCTCTCCTGAAACACTAGCGTGCAACTTAAGCAAAACTGATATTACAATTGTTTTACATTTGGTTTTGAAGTTCGGGCATGAATAAATGTTTGTTGCCGTTTTTAATCGTTTAAGTTCATTTGATTGACTATATATAAATCATTTGACATTAATAACTCATTTATTGGGTAAAACTGCTACTTTTTACTGTCATTCAATGTGTTTTGGTCATTATCAATGCACTGTCACTTTAGTTGAGCGTGAACAGCGTGGCAAAAATAAACCCAGCGCCGAAACTATCGATGCGCTGTTGCTGCGTGCGGTATGAAAGCTCTAAACTGTTAACATGGACGCCGAAAACAGCCGTAACATTAACTAGCATGAACAAATACAGTAGTCAGGCCCGGCCCTAACCAATCTGGCATGCTAGGCAAGATTTCAGGTCGCGCCCCGTCATCATCACATCGCAGTAAATTCCACTGCTAGTGTAAAGTCACAAGAAACTAAACAGCTTTTTAATCGACTACTACAAGCTGGGAAAACGTCAGATAAATATGCCAATGCAATTAACGTTATTGCTGAATAGATCTAATATTTACACATTTGCTTGAGGAAGGAGTGATGGGGGTAGTTACATCTCCGCCCTTCCATAACATTAGCTGACGTAAAAACTAACAGATAGCACTATGGCTATTTATTGATTTGCAATCGGTCAACGTTGGGATGTAAAAAATATGGGACAACAAATAGCGTCAAATGATAGAATACATAGCAAACATTAGAAAATATTGACAATAAAATAAAAGGTTTAGCCTATTAAAATCAATGGACTATACAGAAATTAAATAAAGCTATAAAATCTACTTCACTTTTAATTGCATTTGCATATTGATTAAAGTTACTAGTTTTTTAGTGAAGAGCAGCAAATGAATCTCTCATTGTGTTTTGTTTGATAGCAGAGGTGTTAATGTAAAAATGCACAGATCTATAATGAAGCATTCGACTACTTTAGTAACTGTTTGTGCTTGTTTAAGGGAAAATTAGTTGTGCCTAAAATAAAACACGCATGATGGCTTAAAAAAAAAAAAAAAAAAAAAAAAAAAACGAAAAAAATAAGCACTTTTCCGACGGTCCCTTACAGAGAGCTCCACTCAGCGCGAGCTCAAACAGAGCAGTGCTCGTAATGTCGAGCAAAAATAGAAAAAGACAGCTGTGAAACGTAACCAGCTTTGTCTTTTTGTAGGAAACACACTTTAGATCTTTTTCGGGTAAGAGGTTTTTGAGTTATTGCCATCTATCCAGGGGCGGACTGGCCATCTAGCAATTCTGGCAAATGCCAGAAGGGCCAGACCAATTTTTAAAATGTGGGCCGGTCAGTTATTTTTTTTATATGTATTGTTTTTAAGTGCAGACAGCTTTTATCTCTTGCTAGATGTGATATTATGATGATGATGAAAATAATAATAATAAAAAATGTTAAGCATTTGGCCCAATCGGCAATTGCCACTTAGTTTCAAGATGGGCGACCCAATCCGAGGTTAATCAAAATCTGGCAAGAATGCATATTATTTCACCAATTGTACACCAAAGTAAATAGTGAATGTGCGTGTCCGTGGGTGGGGCTATATCGGTGTGATAATTTGTGTCGGTGTGGTTATTTGTGTGGCAGTGACAGGGCTGAATTTTCGTCCCAGTCCGCTCCTGCATCTGTCTCTAAATGTGTCAGGAATTTCGAAAACAAAACCAACCTAACCGCTCTCATTTCTGGCGTCCCCCTGGATGTACAGCGCCCTTAGCATTTGCCTATACCAGGGGTCGGCAACCCAAAATGTTGAAAGAGCCATATTGGACCAAAAAAAACAAAAAACAAATATGTCTGGAGCCACAAAAAAATGTAAAGCCTTATATAAGCCTTATAATAAAGGATACACATGCTGTATGTATCTATATTAGCTATATTAGCCTACTATCAAAATGACTAAGCTGGCTACAAATACATAATGAGCCTTCATGATTAAATAGCCACTAAAATCAGGTGGTTGGTGTTTATTTTGTTGTCATTAAAACACTTCAGCACAGACTCTTGTCTTTTAGTGTTATTAATTTGATCATTTCTTCTTGCGGCCCATCAGAGTTCACATACCTGCATAAAAGCGCATTGAATATCGGTCACATCACAGGCGATTGAGTATGCTGGCACTGAATTAATGTCCTTGGTTTGCTGATCGGTGATGTTACCTACTATTTTAATAGCCCTTTCCTTCACTGTCTTAGTGGAGAAAGGTATATCTTTATTTTTTTGTATTATCTTGGTTTTGTTTTTAAAGTTTGCAAATAGGTGTTCTAATATGTCATACCATCTTTGAACGGTTTTCCATGCTTTATTATCTCCTGGTTTGTTTACAACAGCCACCTGCCTGGCATCCCGCCCTGCTGATAGAAACGTGTGTCGCAGGCTATGACGCAAATCTTCGTTGACAGAAATGTTGAAATTAAATATTAATTCTACACACTTTGACAGCATTTGAAAACGTTAAAAATGTTTGTCCTCCTATAGAAATCATATTAAAACAAAAAATATATTAACCTCCCCCATCTTTTTGCATTTTCAAACATTTTTGAAAAAGCTCCAGGGAGCCACAAGGGCGGCGCTAAAGAGCCGCATGTGGCTCTAGAGCCGCAAGTTGCTGACCCCTGGCCTATACTGCCTATGCCACGGGCCGGCCCTGACAGTAGTAAATGTATTGTTTATTGTTTGTTCCCGTTAGTAAATGCATTAATTAACATTAACTAATAAACCTTATTGTAAAATGTGACCAAAAAATAAAATAAATAAATATGAACAGAACATCTATTCCAGCATGTTGTTATAAATAGATGACCACAGAGTACAACATTAACCAGAATATCACCTGGAATCTTCCAAATAACTATGTACTAACTAGCAAAGTGAAATAAACTTCATATTTACATTGAAGCAGTCAACTTTTCATTCATAAATGTGCATAAATGTAATTGGGAAACCTACAATTTCGAATTTTTCTAACTATCGATAATTCTTACATGTTGTCCTGAATCTGCATAAAAAAAGTATTATCTCTACAAAAAAAACAGGAATACATTTTTGTCTAGTTTCCCAATCTTCGACCTGCATATTGTAAATAATGTTCTGTATTTTATCTATTTCAGTATGTTCATAGTTGTTGCGAGCTGTTTTCTAGTTTGGCGTCGCAAATAAAAAATAATAGTAATAATAATAAACTCAATATTATTTAAAGCTTGGCTGGTGTAATGTACTCACTGCGCAGTTGGCTGACGTCTCCTTTCATTCGTTCATTCCTCTCGCGGCTGCGTTCTATTGTATTTAGACCCTGCTCTAGATCTTGAAGAGCCTCCTCAGCCAGTTTCAGCCTACGCTCCAGTTCCACGCGAGACTCCATCTCTGCCTGATACACACAAACAACATACAATGCGCAGAAGAAGGAGACAGTCCAGTCATGGGTGTTTATAGAACTTCAATACTTTTGTCTATCACTGAGACATTATATAAGATCATCCAGAGATGGAGAAGAGGTAATCTGGTAATGTATGGAGCTAATAATATGCCAAAACAATCTATATTTGAATTGTGGTCATTTGAATTCTCGACAGTTGTAATTTTATACACCTGAATTTGTATATGCCGGTAAAAAAAATTTAATTTGAATTTCCTGATTTGAATTTGAATTTCATAACTGGGATTTTGAACCAGTGGCGGAGCCAGAGGGGTGTCCCCTGACATCTGATTGGCCACCCCAGGTGCCACCCCAACATTTTATTTGCTGCTGGCAGTTCCTGAAGCTGATTGGCATCTCATTTGTCTAAAGACGTTACTGATTTTTGCCGGCATGCCCGGCAACGCACAAGCAGTGTTGCCAGATTGGGCGGTTTTGATTTAGATTGTTTTTGCATTTCGGCGGGTTTTGGATAGTTTTTGGGCTGTAATCAGTCAACTATATCTGTTTACACTCCGCTCAAGCTATCTTTAAATCAAAGACGAGCCGAAAATAAGATCATTGTTTCAAGTAAGACGAATAATAATACATCATAACATAATACTTGAAATATGTTTTATAGTTTAGCATAAGGTTTGTTTGCTTAGGAACCTTTATTATCCGCTCTGTAAGTTAATGAGGCACCGACGACATGAGTTAACTTAATGAGAAAGAGAACAGTTCGCTCTTTAGACAGTTAACGCTATACTTAATCTATGCTAGTATTACATGCACATTCCATGTATGCAAGTTATTATGTTTAATTTACAATGCTCAAATATTTTGCTAATATGGGAAAGTGATGTTAGGCTAGCTGTTTGTGAGTTACATTTATTTGAAATGGATTAGCCACCTCATATACTTTGATTTTATGATGCTGATTTAGATGTGCAGGTATGATAATGGATATTTTTAATTAGGATATATGTGTTTCTAACTGGATCAGATGTAACCAGACTGTACTATTTTTGCACAGGGACAATTAAACATGAAAAGAAAGGGTGAAATACCAGACTTCTTAATAAAGAAGCACAAACAGGAGGCAGATCAGGTTCAAACATACCCTAGCCTTTGCACTGGATCCCACAGCAGCTCCATACCTGAGACTAGTGAGAGTCAGAGTGGTCAGACTTCAGGTCCACCAGCAGGTCAGAGCATATACTGGGCATTTACATGTTTCATATTTTGAATTATATGTTGCTAATGAAAATAGATTTTAGTTTTCTAAACACTTTTGTGTGTGTGTGTGTGTGTGTGTGTGTATGTTTGTGTGTGTGTGTGTGTGTGTGTGTGTGTGTGTGTGTGTGTGTGCGTGTGTGTGTGTACGTGCGTGTGTGTGTGTACGTGGACCCCCTAAAATAGTAGTGTCCACCCCCTGGCCACCCCATGTAAAAAATTCTAGCTCCGCCACTGTATTGAACATCTGAAATGGAAGACAACTGAAATATTCAAGGCTGATTATCAGCATTGAAATGCTGCCTCGTTTAAATATCATCTATTCACATCTTAGATGTCATAATAAGCCTTACATTTATATTTATTTTAATGATCAGATTTTTCCATATAATTAAAAATATTGCATTATTTTTGGCTGAAATAAATAAAAACAAAAAAGTCCAATGGGTGGCGTCAAATCTCCATCTTTGTCACTGAGCTGTTCATTCAGATTCGTTCGAATCGGCTCATTTGTAAATGAATTACGTGACTCACTATGAATGACTCGCTCACAGACTTCTTGTTAACCTCGCTTGTTAAGTGTTTAAAAAATGGTAACAACATAAGAGGTGTTAACAAGTCTATATTGTTGTAAACAGTGTACAGGGAAAGCCACTTGATGAGTTTTCAACATGTTTGTTTTACGTGACTTAAAACCGAAAGCAGCCTTCCCCACACTGAAAGCTAAAATATATGAGTTTAATTTTAAATTAGGCTATGTGTAAATAATAATGATAATAAAAAAACATTTATTTTTTACCTATTTCCAGACCACCCCAAACTCCAAGCCTCATAATTTGCACCCTGTAATTTGTTTATAACTGGTGGCCAACCCTGTTCCTGGAGAGCCACCTTCCTGCAGATTTCAGTTGCAACCCATATCAAACACACCTGAATCAATAATTAGGACCTGAACACCACGTGATAATTACAGGCAGGTGTGTTTGATATGGGTTGCAACTGAAATCTGCAGGAAGGTGGCTCTCCAGGAACAGGGTTGGCCACCTCTGGTCTATAACTATGAATCAAGCAGAGGTGATCGTCTACTCTTCCCTGTTAAACACCCTGACCTACTTTCTGTTGAATCTGAATTTCACCATCTGAAATTCTGGTTTTGAACTTAAGGATAGTGAATTTGATGTTCTAAATTTCTTCAACTTGAAAATTTTAAACTATTTTTACAAAGTGGATATCTGCAGACTACTCTCGAACACACAAAAAAGTTTGAAAATACGCCTATATAAAATTCAGCTGTGAAAAAATCAGTTTTTCAGCTCAGCTCAAATTTCAGATGTTCAATATTAAAGTTATGAAATTCAAATTCAAATTAAGAAATTCAAATTCAAAACAATTTTTACCGGCATATACAAATT